TGTGTGTGTGTGTGTGTGTGTACACACACACACACACACACACACACACACATATATATATATATATATATATATATATATACACACACATATATACACACACACACACACACAGTATATAAAGAGGGATAGTTTTGCATAGTGGTTAAAGCATCAGGCAATTATAAACTCTACTTCTGCCTTAGGCAAGTGGAATGTAGTGGCTCATGTGGTTAAAATGCTGGGCTGACAATCAGCATTCAGGACCCGAGTGCTACTATATGATGGGGAAAGCTCCAGATCCTTCCCACAGAGCAGTTTGAAAGCGAGTAATCTCAAACAGAGTTAACCAAAGTGGAAACAGATTGATTGCATTAGGTTCTGTGAGGTTCTTGCTCTAAATTGCAGTTGGTAACAAGTCTATGAAGGTTTGATCTTGCATGATCCATAAAGTTTAAAATGGCAATTCATGAAGACTATCACTGTTGAGTTTATAACCTAGTTTTGCATGTTAAAGATATATAGGAATAAAATGTTACTCTATAGTGATTGAATGGTTATATTTCTTATTTAACTACTGCTTGGCCATAGGAATATGTTTGTGCCTGAATGTGTATACACTAGGAAAACAATATTAACCAGTCAAAAATGACCTGCACATCAGGTAGTGTGGCTCCCAAATTGCAGAAGGCAGATTATATATTAAAAACCTTGTATAAGCCAAGGGCATTTTTTAAGGAATAGATAAAGCTCAGGCTACAGGCAGTAGCATAGGCTTATTCACTAACATAGTTATTTTTTCATTCTTCAAAAATTTTTATGCTGAAGCATTCTATCATTGTCTCTTACAGCATGAATTGGTTTTTCATCCAACTTGCTGTTTCTTCAAAAACAGTGTTCTGTTTCCCCCAAGCATACCTGGCATGTCGGATAGAAGCAATAGCACTGCTGAAGTCACTGTCAATGCTCCTACAGTTGTAGAATTCTTCATAGGCTGGCCTAGATGAACCTTGGTATTCAATACGACTGATGCGACAGATCCCCACAATGAGAATGATCAACATCAGGACAAACGCGACACACAGGGCTCCAATTATGATATACAGAGAATGCCGAGGCATATTTGTCAGACTCTCAGCCACATGCCCTGATTTCCACTGTAGATCTAGAAGAGTGAGGAAAAAAACAATGATGGTATTAATAGCACTTCCATTTCCCTATGCCACAAAAAGCTCATTCCACTTCACTCTCTGCTCATTCTTTTGAAGGCATACTAATCTGCATAAAGGTCTACACAGCTAGCAAAGAACTACAGGTAGTCTTTGACTTATGACCACAGTTGGAACAAAAGTGCTACCGTGTTTCCCCGAAAATACGACATGTCCTGCTAATAAGCCCAGGCCTGGTTTTTGCCTGGATTTTGAGGTGGTATAAATATACGCCCTCCCCCGAAAATAAGCCCTAGTGAAAGGGTGCCGTGGCAAGTACAGGAGGAAGCCCTTCCCTTCCCCGGTCACCTCAGCGCTTCTCAGCTCCTTAATCGGATCAGTTGAGCCGATCCGGCCGCCATTCAAAAAACAGCTGATTTGCAGGCGCTGCTCAGGCCGTGGCCTCCAGCAAGTGCAGCTGCTTTTGCCATCGATTACGGTCCAAAAAGCAGCAGGAGGCCAAGTGATGCACCCCACGTGCCTTGCACTTGCCTTCTAAAGGGTACTGTAGCAGCAGTTATCCACAATTTTTTTATCATTATTTTGTGCTGAACCACGTGGCCCAGTGAGCCACATGGATTGTGACAAAATAAGGGTAAAAAAATTGTGGATAGCTGCTGCTACAATACCCTTTGGAAGGCTGGCTTGAGTCTCCTGCTGCAAAAGTGGCTGTGCACGAGACTGCTTTTTGGGAGAGGAGGCAAAGGGGAAGCAATCAGCTTCATCTCACCCTTGCCCTCAGCCCCCCCTCCCTTCGGCTGAGCTTAAGCAGAGAAGTGGCCTGCAGGGTTTCAGGAGCAAAGTTGAGGCTGAAAGGAGTCAGGGCAGAAAATGTCCAGTGTGGCCCCAGTGCTCTTCTTTCCTTGGAAACGGAAACTTGGGAGTGGGAAATGGTATTCCCAGGAAGGGTGGATATGTCGGTATGTGTATAAAAAACACAAAGCGAGGGAGCCTGCAGCTGCGGATTAAGGAGCTTTGTGAAACGTTACGCCTACACACAAAGTTTGGCAAGGGAGGGAGAAGATATACTTCCCTCTCTTGGCAGTTTTGCTGGAAATATTTGAGAATCAGCCAGAGAGAAGGAAGAATGAGCCCTGCGAGGAGATGCTGCCGACACTGCTGCCTGCAGAGATACAGACAAAGTTTATTGAAGACCTTTCCGGCCACCCCACAAGACTATCTGAAGGTGGGGGGGGAGATTTCCTGCACATCGGCAGTGGCGTCTTCTCACAAGGCTTCTTCTGACATCCCCAGTTATATAGATTTCCATGCCTTCCTTTACGGGATGTTGCTTCGCACCTGGGACATTGGGAGAAGCCCTGTGAGGAGACGCCACTGCCAATGTGCAGGAAATCCTCCCCCACTGCAGATCATCCTTTCAAAACGTAGTTTCACCAGGATGAAGAGGTGGCTGGAGGCAGCATTTGCATTAGGTTGGGCTCTCTTTGCAAGGCAGACGATCTGGGGAGCAAGAGATTTAGGAAGCGTGGGCTGGCGTGGGTCTGTTTCTCCAGTGAAGCATCTGATTCATCCCCAGGGGTGAACGTTTCACCCTTCGTCATCTCACTGCCCTGGCTTGGAAGCTGCAGAGGAAGCCTGCCATGCCCAGTGAGTGGGGGAGAAGTGACAGCACACCTCTCACTTCTCCCCCACCCAACCTGCCACCCATCTCGCTAAAGAGACAGTAGAGAAGAGAAGCAGCCTGGATTCTGTTAGCATTGGGGCGGGGTGGGAGGAGTTGGGCTGCGAGACACACGTCCTACCCGAGACATGCAGCTCCGTCGTGTTCCTCACTGTTTTGTCCATGGAAGTTGAACTCGTGAGATTTTTTTTTTTTTACAGGGTGCTTCCATTTCACTAAACAGCTTCTAGACTACTTCTTTTCCTTCTCGCTTAGCCAAAAAAGAATTTTGTTCTGTGTTCTGTTCTGTTCTATTCACATGTATGGTTTGTCCACACAAGTCTGAAAGTGACCTGTGGCCCAAGACAATTACAGGATTTGGTATCTATTCAGACTACTTTTCAGTTAAAACTGTATTTGCATTTCTCGTTCTTTCAGTAATGAATCTGGTAAGGTGGAAAAGTACTAGCACTGATGATGTTACCTAATTAGGAAGATGAAATGTATGATAATGAAACATCTGCTTGAAAACAAGCAAGCTCAGAGAGCACCAAGGACCCTTCAAGATGGAAGAATAGCTCAAACAAAGTAATGTTCCCTTTTGGGCTACATCTCACTGTTATTTGTAATCTATATTAAACCTGTGAAGTTTTTTAAATATTGGATTAAACTAAGGTTTTGAACTTTTTGCTATCATAGAAGATCAGCTTCAGTAGGCAATAAAGGCATATGGTCCCGGCAATCTATCTCTTTCTTACAACTTGCATAATATTGTCATTACAATACATAATACTGAAGCACTGCATAGAATGCATTTTTCAAGGATTATTTTATGTCTCAGGATATTAAATCCAGCTGTCAGTCAGCCTATTGTCTATCACTGAAATAAATTGTCATTCACCCTTGGATAGTTTCCAGACTCATAACAAAACACACATTAGAAATGAGAAAAAAACTCGTAACTACACCCCAGATGCTAACAAAACCTAATATAAATTTTACACAGCTACAATATTATTTTTAGCCTTCCCATACTAATTATACTATGGGTGAATTAATGGCCTTTTACTTGTTAAATCTAGGTGAGTTAGGAAAACCTTGTGTAGAATGTTGGTTTATTCTTTAGTTCAAACCTACTCAAAAATAAATAATGCAGTGAAAAGTCACAGAACCGAGGATGCAGAGGTGAACGACTATTGCATGTCATTTCTTAAAATATAGCAGTTTGGAAGAATGAATTTTATGATTAAGAGAGGAAAGTTTCCTCAAGCTTTTCATACCACTTTCCTGCAGTAAACATGGATTGAGGATGAGGTATTGTATCTGTAGGACTTAATTCATTTGTTCTATTTATCAGTAGGATAAAATGGGAAAATATGAGCTATTTCTATTCAGTTGACTCGAACATGCAGCTATTCATTATAGAATCCCTAGCCAGCAATACAATTCTTATCTCTTTTAATTTATATTGAGTTTTATGTTTGCTTTTTCTTGAAAACTAGACATCACTACTCTAAAATGTTAGAAAGCATTGTTATAAAGGAGACATGAATGACTTGGATGCCTGCTGGTGAGGTAGGTAGGAGCTGAAACTGGCAGGTCAGCCCTTCCATCACTGGAGAGAGAGGACCCTTGGGGACATGCTGCAATGAGGAGCAAGGGTGCATTTTCCTTGCGATCTATGGCTCCCTTTATTCCCCCTCCCCTCAGCATACTGGCAGGTAATTCCACAGGTCAGCCAAGAAAGAGGAAGGATGATTTCTGAGGGCAACAGTTGTTGAAACAAGACAACTCAAGTGGGTTAATTTGCAGAATACCAGGATCCATGCCGCATATCCAATTTTACAAAATCAAAGCAAGGGTGGTTCTGGCTTCTTTTACTGCCGGTTCGCTCAGAGACACGCTTTGTGCACATGCGTGCTTGATGCATGCTATGTGCGCATGCACAGAAGCAAAAAACAAGATGGCGGCACCTATGGTGCTGCTGATAGAACCAGTTCAGACACGTGTCCAGCCAAGTTACTTCCTACTAGGCTGAACTGGGTCGAACCAGTAATAACCCACCTCTGAATTGAAGGTACAAACAAACAGATATTAGAATTTTAGTAGTATATAGATGAGGGAAGACGTTACCATCTGAAAATTGCATATGGACTAGCTTCTTTGTTATAAATCATAAGCAAAAAATTGGAAAAGATTCTGTTTGTTTTTTTTTAGTTTAATGTCATCTCATAAAAGTTATGTGGTACTTTTAAACCTCAGTAGAAGTGGGTCCTTTTCAACTCATATCAAAATGTCTATGCAATTTAGAGGACAATTTTGCTTTTATTGGTTAATTGTTGAACTGGTTTAAGTTGAAATCACTTGCAAACTACTTATAGTTTATATACCAACACTATGTCTCCCATTTATAATATCCTATGAAGTAAATAAAATTAAAAAGCAATATATAAAATCAGGGGCAACTGTAAAAGGGTATCACTTTACAGTTTTTCCATATACATGGAATATAAAGTCAATCACAGCTATTAAAAAGCTGGGCAGACAATAAGATATGAATTCCTAGGATACTTCTAGCACTGGTTCCTGGAAGCTTAACATAGATTAGATTAGACAGAATATTCCAACAGTGTCATGATCCACACATGCTTTCTTGGAAGTATTTGCTACTTACTATTATTTTTTTTAAACTGCATTAATGTCTGGGACCATAATTTTGTAGGAAATCCTTTTCCAAGTCTTCAGGAATTTCAACTACATTCAGACATGAAGTCTGCAAAGAACTGCCACAGTTATAGTATTATGGGAGACATACTGTGCAGAGTGTCTTATGATGACATTACAAACTCCTGTTAACTCTATTTGATTAAATACTAAAATAAATATGTTACATAAAAACAATACTTCTATGGTTCAAGTAGTAATAAATATACTCACGTATTTCACAGTTTGCACCAACCCATCCGCGTGGGCAATGGCAATTATAGCCATTAGGTTGGTCTATGCACAGTCCTCCATGGCGACAAGGGTTACTCTCACAGTCATTTATGTTGATGTCACATTCTTCACCTTAAAACAGGTAAGAAAGACAGTTTTCTATTGCAACTGTAGAAGTAAAATGGTATACATGGTGATCTTTCTACATATCATGTTGATTTGTATATATATATTTCTATATTTGTATCTGTGACTAAAAAGTAACATATTCCTTGTTAGAAACAATCCAGCTGTGTCCTTTTTGTCAGCTATCACTTTCACTTCATATTATTTGCTTCTAAAACAACAGCCCAAGACACCCCCTAGGGTTGCACAGAAGAATAAAACAATGACAATACAGCCAAAATCTGCAGATGAAAGCAATCAAGCATCTAGAAAAAAGCTTGAATGAAATAAGATTGCTGTACTGTGATCAGAACAAAGCTTCTTTTGAAAATGTCTGTTTCAACAGAATTTGCTGTAAAGAATTCTGAATTAGAAATATTTATTCTAGAAAATTAATTTTTGAAACCATTGTTCTCAAACTGGTGTCCTTCAGTTGTATTGGTTGCATTTCCCATATATCTAGTCACAACTAGATTAGTTAGGTTTAATAAGTTTCTCTGAAGAACCCTAGTTTCAAGGAGCTGTTTTAAAGGACCAAAACAGACATGAAAGCAGAAATCTGTGGTTGGACTCCTTATCTTCTTGATACAGGTAGTCCTCAACTTACAACAACAACTGGAACCAGAATATCCGATGTTAAGCAAGGTGGTTAAGTTGCATCCAATTGTATGAGCTTTTTTGGTTATTAAGCAATTGTTAAGTGAATCATGAGCTCCTTAAACGAAGACAGCTTCCCCCATTAACTTTGCTTGTCGGAAACCATCTGGGAAGGTCGCAAAATGTGATCAAAAGATCCAGAATATTGCAACAATTGTAAATACATACTGGTTGCCAAGCTCCCAAGCCAAGATACGGCTGTAAATGGCAACCTTAATTGAATTTCCTTTATGGAAGATCTTCTCATTTTCATACATTTTTTACTATACAAATCAAAACATCATGAATATTATTATTGCTATGTTTCTTTTAGTTCAGAATAAGGTACTGTTATCTAAACTGTCCACTAATTTGTTGGGATAATAAGTAGTGCAGGTGCAAGCTAATACATTTAACATTTACTTTACTTCCGCATTTTTATAAATATCTCTGCATATTGTGCAATTTTCAAAAAATGTACCTGTAAATCCAGGTGCACAGATACAGGTAGCATTTACCCCTTCGCTGTCACAAGTCCCACCATTCTGACAGCTGATGTTTACACAAGGATCTTTATATAATTCACAGTGTCTTCCTGAGAATAATACATGAAAAAATTATTTAGTTATAAAATTTGCAAGGCTTTCCAATTCCATGACAACTCTGAACAGCATACAATAGTAAAAGCAAATTGCAACATCCAGTGAAGCTCATGGAACAGAGATGTTACATGAGTAAACTGTGACATGCCTATAATTGTCCATGCTGTCATATTCTGGACCAGCTATAGCTTCCAAATATTCTCCACTGCATAACTTTTTCAGAGGATGGCGAAGGATAAAAACATTAGAATATATAAATATGGTGTATCAGCATCTGATTGATAGAGAATATACTGTTTTTTATGTGATCATAAAATTTGTTCTAGGTTATGGTTTGGTTTCTTGTTCACTAGGATATTATGTTATAAAATTAAAAAAAATTAAATTAAAATAATTAAAAACAATAAATACATTTAAAAGAAAACACAAAAGGCAGATTTGGTGGAACACTAGGTCTTTTTCTGCCATCAATTTTCTATGTTTTTGTGATTCTAATATACACTCAATAGTTATTTCTGATCATGCTCCAGTGACATTGTATTTAACATTTAGCATACTCTCTTTAAGGTGATATTGAAGGGTAAACCTGAAGTGAGTGATTCCTCTAACTTTTAGGTCCAGCCGGGTATATACTGAAAGTTTTCAAGGACAGGAGAGGGGATAGTAGTGGTCTACACTTTCAAAATGAGGGTGGCAGGTTTTTTGTTTAGACAGCCCATAACTGACCAATTTACTTTACTATCTCTGGAATCACAACCAGCAATTCAACAAGAGGCATTTCCTTGCTCTTTTTGATTGGCATTTCAAAAGTCTTTTTTTCCCCTTTATTTTTTGTGGCAAACATAACATATGCACACAAACTGTTCGATTAGACATTCACACATTTGTCTACTTGTTTTTAAAAACCACAATACACCCCTCTGAATGAAAAGACTGCTTCTATTTGCCCATTCAATTGCTACTCTCCATTTCAAATAATTCCCTTTTTAGGTCAGAGACCAATCTTTGTCCTAATCAGAAAATGTAATTAATTGTGTTTCAGAGTCAAGGCAATTATCAATTTACCGTTGTTAATTTAGGTCACGTAGTATAATAGTCTAGGGGGAAAATGCTGTTGCATCCAAATCTGTTTAGCACTAGAATCTGAAATGTCCACAAAATGATTTGTCTGGTGAATGGTGAATTTTAAATTATGCACATACATTTATTGGGTGGATTTACAGTAATCTATAAATCAATTTCTTTTAAAATAGTATTGCTCACCTTCATATTCAGGAAGACATACACAGTCATAGCTATTGACAAGATCTCGGCAGGTAGCTCCATTCTGACAAGGGGCTGAATGACACTCATTATATTCCTCCTCACAGTAAAGACCATGGTAACCTAAAAGCACAACAGAAATTTTAAAGAAGGAATATATATTACCAACATCTTTGTCAGAAAATAGTGGAATTCCTCTCATAAATGGGATGAATTTGCTATTTATAAAAATGCCCAGATATAGCTTTAAAATACTTCTGAATGGACATTAAAAGATTTGGACGTTAAATAGATCTTCTTGTCTATTTTATATGTTAAATAGCCACAATTACACTTTTCTCTTAAAGAAGAACTTCACAAGCTTTATTAGAAATCAGAGACTATTCACTTTCCAGTGCAGTAATATTTTTGCAAAAATCATTCTTCCATTGCAATTGGTATAATATGAAGTATGTAGAAATCATAGTGACATCACTTTATCTTGAAATAAGCTCTCACACCAACTTATAATTCAATGGAGAATGTTTGAATGTACATAAAGATTCATAGTCAAGTTTTCTCATCCTTGAGACAGATAAAGGCAGGGAACCATGAACGTATAGCTATGATTGTACCATTGTACAATAGCTCAATGATCAATAGAACAAGCAAGAAAGCTATTTCACAGTCCAGAAACTGACCAAAATTCAGTTAGCATACAGTGTGTACAGTTGTTCAATAAACTATGCTGACTGCACATTCAGAGACTGAGTACATATATCATCTTAAGCCACAATATGGTTTGTCTGTCTATGGGTTAACATGCTTTCTGAAGCCAGGCACTATAATGAATGATATATGATGTGTGGCAAGCATTGTGTGAACCCAGCCAATTATGATTTATTCAAGAAATCATAGCTAAGGAAGTAGGTCACATTATTTTTTTAATACTAGAAACTCTTTATTTTCTACCACATATTGGCTATGTTTACACATCATCCAAAACATTACTATGTATATGCCATGTAAAGTGCTCTGGTATAATTTATCCAGAGTAACATAGTGAAGGTAATTACTTAGTCTAATACCTATTCATAAGATAAGTTTTTATTCCTATCAATACTGACCTAATATTGTCTCCTCATATATAGGAGCAACACTGACTAACCCTTACAGTAGCACAATTATACCTTTATCAGTTTAGTTCAGGATTTCCTTGCTAGCTCTATTTGAGCAGCTGTCAATCCTGATGAATTGTGGCTGTCATTCTACTTACTGGATATTACATTTCAGCTCCAGGTCACTGTGTATATTTAAGTGAGTAGAACTTTCATTTTCCATACATATCATTCATGAAAGATATTTTGCAACTAAAATGTGAAACCACTATTATCAATAAATACAGTGGTGTGATTTATTTTTCTTCAGTAAACATGGACTGAATTCAAATGACCCCCAGTGGAATTATACACAGAAATGTATAAAGGGATCAGGGGTGTGTTCCTACGCAAACCAGTACCCATTCGCTCATGCGTGCATTTTGGACGTGTTGCTTGTAATTCACTGTTAATGGTTGTGCGCATGAGCGAAGACCATTAAAAGTTAATAAACAAGATGCCAGCAATGGCAATGGAAAACGGGGAACCAGTTCAGGGGCCTGGCCAGCCTGGGTTGCTGCTGGTTCTGTGACCCAGGCCAGATTACTACTACCAGTTTGGCTGAACCGGACCGAACCAGGAGCAACCCACCTCTGATAGAGATCCCCAATACATTCCATTCTCCCAATTACACATAAACATAGATGCACAATCCTACAAATTCTACTCCTCAAAGTGATTTCTTTAGTATTAGGATGCTCCCTAAAGAAGTTGGGGGAGAAATCAGTAGGTCCTACAATGAAAGTAGAGTCTCCAGGTACCAATAAGGATATGATAAAAATGGAAGAGTAAGAGAAGGAGAATATATTAGATTTTCTTTTTTTCTGTACTCTTCTCTTAACACAGAATAGAGATAAAAACGTTTGATGAATTCAATATTAGACTGTTCTGTTATTGATATAGGACCACAGATATAAAATATTTTCATTTATTATTCTCAACTACTAACATCTTATCTGAATAAAAAAATTAAATAGCAGCCCTTTTAACTTTTTTAAAAGCGACCTGAAGCCCCAATTTATGAGTAGAATGTTGGACTATGGATATGCATTGCAGAACAGAATAATGTATACTTTTCATGATCACCATCCTACTGACTACAAGTTCTGAAGAGCAAGACCAATCTTGGAAAGAAAAGTAAATGGAGTTCCTTGTCTTAAAAAATCCAATGATATGATGGTCTTTGGAGCAGAATGCACTTCCTACCTTACATAAAATATATATATATAGCTACACTCTGGGCCCTTTAGTAGAAACTATGTAGTTCATATTATATCTATCTGAATTATTTTGACACACATGTTGCATATTGCTACATATTTAACAAATATTAATTTTGAATACAAAAAAGTAAGTTTTATAGGACAATTGGACACAGATCACGTTACATTGATATAGAAATGCCTTTTTCTCTCCGCTAGAGGGCATCTTCACCCTTTCACATTTTTCCCCCCAAAAAAGGAGGTCACAAAAGTACATTCTTCTGCTACAAAGAAACTGAATCCTGATCTTTTGAACTCAATTGCAAAAGCAATATTAAATGCCACTACAGATGAAATGCAAGGGACAGTTTTCCTCCCTAAAACTTTAAATTATACTGGTGTTTTTAAAAGCCTTTCCAACTGGGTTAAGAAGAGTTTTAAGAGGAATGTTTGTAAGAGATTTTTAAAAATTCCGAGCTGACCAAACCTTTCTTTTGTACAGTAATGTTCTGCTCTCAATTACAACAGTACAATTTCCTTAGGGAGGAAAAACAGAAGATAAGAAGTATTTGCACACATGACAGAAAGGACCCAACATTCCTCCTCACCTTTAAGCACAGATATATAGAAAAGAGGTTAGAGACCCTGAAGAAATGAAAGTACAGGCTGATCACAAAATATTTTATTTATTTATTTTTAGTTTGTCAAGCATGTATGAGAAAACAAGTATAAGTATGAACATAACATATAAACATATAAGTATAAACAGGTATAAGTATATAAATAATAAATGAGTATGAATAAATGGGGACAGTAGAACACGGACAGTAGGCACACCAACTTTTACCAACTTTTTTGGTAATAAGATGGCAACAGAGTGGTGAAAGTGTTTCTTTAATCACTCTAGCTGTTGGAAGAGAAGGATTATGGGAACATAATAATTGTCTTCCAGTAGTTGAGGGTTGTCACAGAGAAGAGAAGATTGACTTACATTCCAAAAGACAAAAGGGTAAGAAGAAATGGGTGGAAGCTTGTTTAAGATTTAAGGTTTTATTTGATTTGTATGCCGCCCTATTCCCGGAAGACTCAGGGCGGCTAACAATCAGAAAGGGGAGGGGGTACAAAATAAAAATAAAAGACAAACAATTTAAAATACAGCAACAGTCGTAACCTCGGATGGGGCTGGAAAATTCAACAGCCCCAGGCCTGCCGGAACAGCCAGGTCTTAGTTGCTTTGCGGAAGGCCGGAAGGGTTTACAGATCTCGACAGGGAGATTGTTTCAGAGGGCCGGAGCAGCCACAGAGAAGGCCCTCCCCCAGGGAGTTGCCAGCCGACATTGGCCGGCAGATGGAATTCGGAGGAGGCCCAGTCTGTGGGATCTAATGGGTCTTTGGGAGGTAATTGGCGGCAAGTCAATTAGTCAATAGCCCTCTGGAACGATCTCCCTGTCAAGATCCGGACCCTTACCACCCTTCCGGCCTTCCGCAAAGCAATTAAGACCTGGCTGTTCCGGCAGGCCTGGGGCTGTTGAATTTTCCAGCCCC